TAGTAGTAGTAGTAGTAGTAGTAGTAGTAGTAGTAGTAGTAGTAGTAGTAGTAGTAGTAGTAGTAGTAGTAGTAGTAGTAGTAGTAGTAGTAGTAGTAGTAGTAGTAGTAGTAGTAGTAGTAGTAGTAGTAGTAGTAGTAGTAGTAGTAGTAGTAGTAGTAGTAGTAGTAGTAGTAGTACTAATAATAATAATAATAAAGAAATAGAAGAAGAAGAAGAAGATGAGAACTTTGAGATGGAATATTAATGTAACGATTAAACAATGATAATAACAAATGTCAAGGTTAGAGGTTCCACTAATGGTATATCAAACAAGTATAGTATAAACTCTTATTATTGAATTGGAAACCACACACAAAGGAGGTTCCAATCAGATTATATATTGTTAACATGATTACATTAGTCATCTTATTCAATTAATGCTAATACTTGTAAATCTCGTCAAGCATTCATGATTATAACTTATGTTAACAATAAATCAAGTTCCTTTCATAGCTCAGGTGTCGGTTATACCATACATTATGGGCTATGAAAGTGCCAAGCATTTGTTGTACCAAGTGTTATATAACATAAATCAAGATTAGTCATTTAACAAGCAAAGTATTAAAGAGTGAACAAGATAACAAATATAAAACATGTTAGTATCAAACATTAAAGTCCATATTAAGTTTACATTATACTTATTCTTACACCATTAGTGTAACCTTTTCACCTTGACATAATTAACTTAGCTAGACATAATGAAAGAAAGCAAAATAGATAAACAAAATAAGAACATAAAAGTTAACTAAGTAAAGGAAAGGAAATGAAAGGCATAAACTTAATATTAATGAAAACAAAGCATAAAAAATACAAAGAGAGAAAGGAAGAGCATGATCTTGATCTGGAAATCAAGATGCCTAAATGCATGGCAAATGCCTCCTTTTATAGGCCAAAAATGGGAACTATTGATTTGATGACTAATTGATAAGTGGGTGACCAACTTTTGACTTGGTGACAATCCTTATCTTCTCTTGTCTGCCCAAAACGTCATTGATAACGTCAAAATTGGAGCCAGTTGCAAACATGAAAGTTGTGGGCAATTGTCTCAGCTTTCTTGTGTAAAAAATTCAGCTCATTTGGACTTCTAGAACTCCAGATATGGCCAAAATACCGAACAGTGCTCGGGCTGGAAGACAGATTCGGGCTTCTTTGTTGTTGCTACAATTTGGACTTGATAATGGCCTTTTTAGATCTTGGGCTCCATATGAAAGTTGTAGGCCTATGTCTTACCTTTCCATCCATATAAATTGGACCTAAATCTGAGATCTGTAGCTCCAGATATGACCCAATTACCGAACAGTGTTCCGGTTTGGATTGCACCGACATCTCTTTTCTAAGTTTGGCCATCTCTTTATCCTTGCAATTTAAGTTCTTCAAGTCATCAATAAATCCTTTCATTTATGTGATCGACCTGCATTTAAACTGAATATTTACCACAAATTAAAGGTATCTTAGGTTATTAGATATATTATTATAAAACATGCTTTGGTTAAGGAGTTATTGGTACTTCAAGTGCAAAATGATGATATAAAACCATGATAAAAATGCACTTTTAAGTACTAATCACAAAGTTCACCTTTTGCAAAACTTATGGTACACCACTTATTTTTAATCTTATCCATGACTCCAAAAAACCCAAAAAAACGGCTTCAGAAAACAAAATCCACCTGAAATCAAAATATTACGCAGGCTGCATATATTATGGTGATCAAAAAATCGGGGTTTGAGCTCTTTGGACCTCAAAATCTATTTTTAACCCAAAACATTTTTGGAACTGTGATAATCTTATCCATGACTCTAGAAAATCCAAAAAAAAAACCTCATCAGAAAATAAAATCAACCTCAAATCAAAATATTACGCAGGCTGCATATATTGTGGTAATCGAAAAATTGAGGTTTAAGCTCTTTTGACCTAAAATTCTTTTTTAACCAAAAACACTTTTGGAACTGTGATAAACTTATCTATGACTTAAAAAAACCCAAAAAACCACTTCAGAAAACAAAATCAACCTCAAATCAAAATTTAACCCGAACTCAAATATGATTTTTTCACAAACTATAGAGGTAAAAAGAAAAAAAAAACCACCTAATATAAACTCCTCTCATCAAAATGAATAATTTGACACAAATATCGTCCATTTCAGTAGGCTAAATCAGTGTCAATCATGCGTTTCTCTCTCTATCACTAAAATTCAGTGACCTCTCTCCCTTCTTTCTATACCAAGGATAAAAAAATAACAAAAATAAATTTTTGTATAAAAATTAAATTGAAAAAACATTGAGGGACCAAAATCATAAAATTTGCATGATTTTTTAAGTTTAAAGATCAAAGTACATCTTTTGCGAAATTTATAGCACACTACTTATTTTTGTCGTGGTTTTCATTTCAATATGTCCTCTATTAATTTTACCCTTTCATAATAATTCAAATTCAATTACTTTTTAATTTAGACAAATTAAATCGTCTAAAATAAAATTTGAGAATCAAACTAAAAAAATATAAAATTTTGCACAATCCATCTGCAATAATTTATTAGAAGATGAACTGTGGAGCTATGCACATTAGAAATCCCATTCCTTTCAGGTTATAGGTAAAGTAATGGTTGACTTAGAATATTAGATCGTGGAAATTGATATTCCCAAACAACAAAGCTCTCATTATTGTTCTTGTATTGAACTTTTTCCACATAGTTCCTTGAAATCTCTTTGGCATCCAGGTCATGAGTACTTCTCCTTCCTAAAATTCAAGCACAGGAGCTCCCGAAGGCTCTCAACCACCGCCTCAAAAGGTCGGAATTCTTTTTACTTCTTCTGTAATTCAGATAATCAGTTAGTAATGATCAGGGGAGCAAATGAAATGTTTTAATGACATGACAATTTGGAATTTTTCTTGTGTGGCATGTTTTAAAGGATCGTGCATCAATGTTCTCCAAGTTTAGATTCGGTGGAAGGTGAGAATATGTTTTTTTTTTTCCTCCTATTTGAAGCTTCTATGTGCATGCTTTTTTTGCAGTGGTTTAAACTTTGTTTACTAATCAGTTTATTTTTGGTATATGATCAGCCAATATGTTGAGGTGATAAAAAGACAAGATTGATATATTGAATACAATCACATACTTTTTTAGGTGAATCGAGATCGCCAATATGCTGAGGTGTGATCGAAGAGCAAATAATACCCTACCACATCTTTATCTTCTATTTCTTCCTTGCATATGACCTTTCCGATGCATTCTCCATGATTTCTTTATCCTCTCTACTAACAATCTTTCACAGATCCTGACCTTGAAGATGGGTTTTGTATACCTAACACTCAATAGTAGTAATTGGAGCTTTACATCCCAAATTGATTCAAACTACTATTGGAATCCATATTTAGTAACACAATTTTTTTTTCACAAAAGTTCTTTTTTTACTCGATCACGATCAAGACTAAGAAAGATAAAACAACTTGGCTCCACTACAAGTTGAACCAATAGAAAAAAACTTGCTATTGAATTATACTTTATGCTAAAAGTTAACAACCTTTCACTTTGCGAATACATAGTGAAAATAAATGTTTTTTAGTTATAGTTTTTTTTAATTAATTTTTTTTTGTTCAATTTAATTCTTCAATAGTAATTTTTTTATTTAATTATCGTACTCTTATGATACAGATTTTGAGTTTAACCGGTTAACTTAGTTGATTCAGATTTTTTTAATTAGTTTTGTTTCAATTTCATCCTTCAATGTACATTGTGATCATCTATTGGGTTTTAGGTCAAAATGTTATATTTGTATTAATGGATCAAAGATAATTTGATGAAAAAATATTGTAAAAATACGAGTAGAGTCATTTGATAAAAATATATGGTACTATTTTATATGTTAAAACACAAACATATTTAACTTATAAAAAATCTTCCTATGATAAATATAATAACTTAAAATTTATAGTCATGTGTGACATTCATTGCAGAATAAGTATAAATTAAAGATTTCAAATCATATCTAAATAATTTATGGGTCATAAAAATATATGGATTGAATATTATCACAGGGACTCTCTTACAATTTTTTTATATATAATCAAAACATTAATATTTTTATATTGAAATATATTTTATCTTGGTGGTGGTGCTTTATCAAATGTATTGTATTTAGTATAGTGTAGTATATATAATGATAAATTAAACATTATAGGTTAATTATGTAATTTATTTTGGACATGTCAAGCGCATTTACAATAAAATAACTATAAAGCCTAAGGGCATTTTAAAAAAAATTCACAAATTTTTAAACTTTAATTTATGTTTCAATAGTTGTATATTGAGTTTAGAGCTACTTTCATTATGCGATATCATGAAAATTTTGACAAATATTAAGATTTCTATAAAGGTGTAAGAAAGAGGGCTATTTATTTTGTCACTCTGTCAAGGTATGGAGTGGGATAAGTAATAATATCACCCTTCATTCAAAACCTTAATTTCTATTTTTGAAAATGATTTTCATAAAATTGTTTTTATACAAATTGACGTGCCAGTTGATTATCGATAAAATATGAGTCCTACAAATGATAAATGGTTGATCTTCCATGAATCGAAATAATCTTTCAAGTGTTTTTATACAAATTGATGATACTGCTTATTTTCGGAGTTAATAGGAAGGGGATGCCTGGAGAGTCTGAATCATCTACAGATGGGTCAAAGACGGTTGAAGTCCCCTCAAAGGTCAGAATATTATTACTGCTTGAATGGTAATTAATTAATATAATTATGTAATGATTTAATAATGACAATTTGGAAATTCTCTTGTTTGACATGTTTTGCAGGGCCCTGATGGCAAAACCGTGTTTAAACCAAAGCATCTTACAATCTGCTGGAAGGAAGAGAGTCAATATTGGAGTATTCCTGAAGGGTGAGGATAACATACCTGTTTTCTTCTTGAAGAGTTATGCTGTTATGTTACAAATCTTGGTGTGCTTGATCTATTGTTATGTTGCAAATGTTTTGTTAATAAAAGTAAAATTGGAATCATTAATTTACAGATATCATAGAAAATTTTTATGGTGTTTAAGTTGTAACTATCAAAATTTAATAATAGATATGAAAAATAAAAATAATTATATCTGGTCCTTTTAGAGTTGAACCAATTTAATATTTTTATAAAGATTCTTTATCCTTTTCATGCATAATTCTTCTCTATAGAGAAAGTATTGATAGTTATAATTTCAATATCATAAAATGTTTACGGAAGTCTTTTAAATTCATAAAAAGTATTTTATATATAGATTGTTTTTTTTAAAAAAAAAAAAACCCTCGCTGGATCGGGTTCACACCTAGTTTTTTATTTTATTTTTTCTCTTTTAGATACCAATCTCCCCAAATTTCTCCTTCTATCTGTCATGACACTTCGAAGATACACGGTTCTTGAATCAAGAGAATCAAGATTTGTTTCACTCTGCCTTTATTCATTATCAATATATGGCTTATATAGCTATTTACAGACGTCTTACGCTGTGCATGCATTATGCATGATGACAGCCAGAAAATAACCGAAATTGTAACAGAATAACTACCACCCGTAATAATAGGATATAGTAACAGAATTATCATAAAAGTGAGCGGGAAAGTAAGCAATGAGAGAAACAAACAAACTGTAGCACTAAACTGTTAATTCCTTTAACAGTCCATCATTCCCTGCTTTAAACTGTATTCAGTTTATGTTTGGAATTTCACGTAATCCCAGCAATCTTCGAAGCTGTAAGAACACCTCTAACCTGAGAGGTTTTGTCATAATGTCAGCTATCTGGTCTTGAGTTTTACAGTAGCTCAAGTTGACCACATTCTCTTTCACCATTTCACGAAGGAAATGAAACCTAATATCAATATGTTGCTTCTGCCGTGGAGAACAGGATTCTAGGAAAGTTTTATGCTGGAACTGTTATCGCACAAAAGTGTAGTGCATTTCTTCAGCTCACAACCAAGCTGTTCGAAGACTCTTCTTAGCCAAACACATTGACAAGCACATGAGGCAGCAACGATGTACTTAGCTTCGGTTGTTGATAAACTAACAACAGGCTGTTTCTTGGAAGACCATGATACTGCTCTAGAGCTGAGTATAAACATACATCCTGTAGTACTCTTGCGATCATCTATATCTCCAGCAAAGGCGCTATCTGAGTAGGCTATGAGCTGCTTACAACCTCCTTTCTTGTAGAAGATGTCCAGGTTCATCATTCCCATCAAATATCTGAGTAGCCTTTTTGTTGCTACCCAGTGTTGCTCCGTTGGGCATGACATGAAACTGCTAATAAGGCTCACACCATACATTAAATCAAGTCTGGTTGCAGTTAAGTACATGAGACTGCCAACCACCTGCTTAAACATACTTGCAACAACCTTGGTTCCCTCCTCATCCTTTGACAGTTTGCAGCCTAAAACTATAGCATTCTTCACTGAGTTGCTTCCGTCCATGCCAAATAGTTTTAAGATTTCTTGAGCATACCTCCTTTGACATATATAAATCCCTTCAGGATTTTGTAGCACCTCAATTCCCAAAAAATACTTCATTTTTCCCAAGTCTAACATGTCAAATTCCAGCATCATGAGCTTCTTGAACTCTTCACACATATTACTGTCATTCCCAGTGAAGATTAAATCGTTAACATACTGACAATTAACAGCTTTCGTCCTCCTCCTAGTTTAGTGAACAGGGTGTGCTCACAGTAACACTTTTTGAAGCCTTTGTGGACGAAGCCTGCCTCAATTTTGCTATACCAAGCTCGGGGAGCTTGTTTGAGGCCATACAATGCCTTACTTAGTTTATAAACCTTGTGTTCCTTGCCCCTTTTCTCATATCCTTGAGGCTGTTGGACAAAGACTTCATAACTGAATTCACCATGCAGAAATGCGCTTTTAATTTCACATCCAGTTGAAAGATGCTCCATCCTTCTTGAGCTGCTAGAGCAATTATCAGACGTATGGTATCTAATCTTGCAACTGGAGCATATAGCTCTGTGTAGTCAATCCCATATTGTTGCGCATATCTCTTTGCCACAAGTCTAGCCTTGCATTTGTCTATCTCACTACTTTCGTTGAGTTTTGTTTTAAATATCAATTTAACTCCAATGTTGTTTACTCCTTCGGGTAGGGTAGTCAAAACCCATGTTTTATTATGTTCCATGGCCTCAATCTCTTTGTTCATGGCATCTGTCCATTTCTTGCTCTTCACAGCTTCCTCGAATGCAGATGGATCAGCTTCTGTAAGAATAATCATAGCATTTTAGTCCTCTTCTTCTGACAGATTCTCTCCTGTTTCATAGTCTTGCATCCAGGGTGGAATTCGTCTTACCCTCCCTGAAACTGAAGGATTCACTTCATGTGTCACACTAGAATGTGCATAAGTGCCACTTGGACCTGCCTCATTCATGCCCTTGAAGTTGGCCTCTTCATTCTCGTTGGTATATGTTCCAAGTTCCTCAGTTGAGCTTGCTTCTTCATTCTTACTATCCTCTATTCCCAGTGTTTGTGCATTCTGAGCTTCATCAGTTTCTTCTTCAGTATCACCCCATTCTAGTACATCTGAGGTTCTTTTTTCTCTGCTCATGTCTCAATTCCGACCCTTATTTTATTTAAAAACAACATCTCAACTAACAATTATTTTCTTAGAGATTGGATCAAATAATCTGTAGGCTTTCGATTCTTCACGCACTCCCAACAAAACACACTGTATGCTTTTATCATCCAACTTAATTCTTCTTTAGTCTGGTACTTGTACACGAGCCAAACACCCAAAGACCCTGAAATACTTTAATGGAGGCTTCATACCAGTGCATGCTTCCTCTGGAGTTGAGTGTTGGACGGCTAGAGTAGGGCTTCTGTTGAGCACATGAACACACCACCTTACAACTTCTGGCCAGAAAACCTTTAGAACCTGTTTATCTGTAAGAATGCACCGCACTAAATTCATCACAGTCTTGTTCTTTTTCTCAGTAACTCCATTATGCTGAGGAGTATAGGTCGTGGTTAATTGTCTGGTTATGCCATTTTCTTTTCAAAATTCCTCAAACTCATTTGAGTTAAACTCACCACCTCTATCAGTCCTTAAACATTTGAGGTAGGCTCCTGTTTCCTTTTCAACACATGCTTTGTATCTTTTGAACATGGTAAAGGCTTCTGATTTTTCATGCAAGAAGTAGATCCACATCTTTTGACTAAAATCATCAATAAAGCTTAAAAAATACCTCTTGTTGATTTTTGATGCTAGATTTATGGGACCACATATATCTGCATGTACCAATTCCAGCTTCTGTGATGCCCTCCATATACTTCTTTTAGGAATAGATTCCCTGTGCTGTTTGCCAATTAGGCATGTTGTGCAAACCTGTGCACAGGCTGCTGGTGAAGGCAGACCAGAAGGCAAACCGTTGACCATCATTTTGGATTGAAGGGTTCTCAACCCTTTAAAGCTCTCATGGCCAAATCTGCAAGACCATAGGTAACTTTCATCCTCTATCATAGCTTGAAGACAAGTAGTGGCTTTAAGTATCATTGTTGCGAGCACAACAAACATCCTGTTCGTACTCATTTCAGACTGAATAATTAAGCCCTTAGTAGGATGGAAAACTTTACACTTCCTATGCTGAATCAGAATTGTTACACCTTTGTCTTGAAGTTGCCCCATGCTTAACAGGTTATTTTTCAACTCTGAAATGTAATAAACTTCTGAAATTACTTGAGTAATTCCATTTACTTTCATTCTTGCGTTTCCCTTCCCCATAACTGTCGTCTTTGAGTTGTTGCCTAGCTTTACTGTGTGTCTGAATTGATCATCCAATTCTGAGAACCATTCTTTTTTCCCACTCATGTGATTGCTACATCCTGAATCAAGAAACCAAATCTCTTTTCTTTCCTCATGGTTAAGCTCTTCATAAGCCATTAATAGTAATTCTTCTCTTTCATATGTTTTTGCATAGTAAACTCCTTTCTCCCAAGCAGGACACTCATATTGAAAGTGTCCTAATCTGTGACACTTGAAGCATTCTATAGTAGCCTTGTTGAATTGTAGTTTGTCACGACCTCTTCCTTTTCCTCTTCCTCTTCATCTACCAGTGTTTTCTTCGTAAGTAATCTTGAGAGCCTGCTCTTCTCCTCGATGACCATTCATTCTTTGTTCATGGACTAGTAGACTGCTCTGCAGCTCATCAATGGTCAATGTGTTTAAGTCATTTGACTCTTCAATGGAACAAACCACATAATCAAATTTTGAGGTCATGGACCTCAGAACTTTTTCGTTGATTATGGTTTGGCTCATCATCTCACCATGAGTCTTCATTTTATTGGCTAGTACGACCAAAGTAATTGTTAATTAAATCTCCCTCCTTCATGTGCAGTCTCAAAGTCCCTCTTAAGTGCTTGTAGCTATGCCCTTTTCACCTTAGTAGAGCCTTGGTACTTCTGTTTCATGGAATCCCAAATTCCTTTTAAAGTGTCTCTATTAAGTATGGTCTCCATGACATTTCGATCTATGGCTTGAAAAAGGTAATTCTTCACCTTCAAGTCCTTCAGCTTCTATCCCTCAATCAGTTTGCGTTGTGCTTCTACCTAGTCCTCACTCAATTTGTGTTGTCCTTCTGTTGCTCCTGCCATAGAAACAGATCCTAGCTCAGTTCTCTGTGTCACCTCCATTGAAATCCTGTTCTCTATGAGATCCCAATATTCTTTGGAGCGGAGGAAATTCTCCATCAACATCGCCGAATAATCATAATGTCCATCAAATTTAGGAATGGTCGCCTACAAGAAACTGCTATTGTTGCTTTCCATAATTCTGTTGATTCTCTAGAGAAAGAAGAGAAGTTGAATTTTTCTTTTGTTCCTCACACACACCTACACTCAAGTCTCCTATGATGCTGCTCTGACACCAATTGTCAAGACACACAGTTCTTGAATCAAGAGAATCAAGATTTGTTTCCCTCTGCCTTTATTCATATCAACATATGGCTTATATAGCCACTAACAGAAGTCTTACGTTGTGCATGCATTATGCATGATGACAGCCAGAGAATAACCGGAATTGTAACAGAATAACTACCACCCGTAATAATAGGATATAGTAACAGAATTACCAGAAAAGTGAGCGGGAAAGTAAGCAATGAAAGAAACAAACAAACTATAGCACTAACTGTTAATTCCTTTAACAGTCCATCACTATCTTCTTCTTCTCTACTATTCAATCCATTAACTACCCCAACAAAAACCCAAACAGTCATCACCATAATCAAGCTTTCTTTCTCTTCCAAACCGAGCTAGAAATCATTTATTGTGTTGATGAATTTGTATGGATTGATTCATTCATATAAGCTGTTTGTTTGCATGTGCAGACAGTATAGTTATTTAGTAAAATTTCTAACGTCTCTGGGTCATGCAAAGTAATTTGCTTCGGCCTGATATTGTTTCAAGGTGCATGCATCTATATGCATCATCACGACCTTCAAACTTGTCAATATTCTAAATTTAAACATGTAAAAGTAATTGTACACTAGGAAGGGTTAATTATTCTTATTTTCATGGTCTGAGTAAGGCGTTCGATGCCTTTGTTCTATAAATTTTGAGTTGATTCCCAATTCTATCTCAGCTTTATTTTTTTATTTTACTAAAAATTAAATAACATGTGAAAAAATCATGCAAACACAAATAATGAGAAGCACACAAAACTTAGTTAATTTTTTATGCGGATTTCACAAATACATCTTTATTAAAAATTGTACAATATTCTTAATTATTAGAGAGGAAAAATACAATATTTTTTTGCTTTTGTAAGTTGGTCCCTCTATTATTCAATTGTTGACTGTTGATTTTTTTAAAAACCAATTCCTAAATTACCTTTTTGAAAGACTTAATTTTGTCTACAGTAGATAAGATTGGAAATTTTGATTATAGATAAGAATATTCTTGGTACAAAAACCAACAACAGGACCAATTAATTTAAAACAAAGGGATTAACTAATAATTTTATTGAAAACATAGGGATCCAATAATAATTTACTCTATTTAATTTGATACTTTAATTTATTCATACATGTTTTCTCTTGATCCACGTTTTTGTTTTAGGGTAAATTACAAAAAACTTTTCAGAGGTGTTATAAAATTGTACGAATCATTTTGACAAAAATCTTCAAATTGTTAAGTAAAGATTACAAATATCCCAAGGTCAAATTGTTACATTCTTAAACGTGGAAAGTTAATGTTTAGAAATCAGTATATGGTGCAGTTCCGGCCAACTTTTAGTTATTGTTTCTTTCTGTTGTTTCCTTTCATTTTTGGCGGAGACCATAAAACAAAGTTTTTTTTATTTATTTCTTTACATGACAGGATTGAATTTTAGGGGTGAGTATATTAAACTAAAGACCAATGGTTTACCATCACAATGGAACTGTATCACTACCTTTTGTGCATCTGCAGATTTAATTTGAATAGTGGTGCTATAGTAATGTAGAGCCTATTTTGTTTATGTCAATTTGAATCTATTTGATCTTTGCAAAATATAGGGATGGTCCTGCAGAGCTGCTGGAGGTGTGCTGGCTTGATGTAAGTGGTGAAATGCCTGTAACCAAAGGGAAGGCGTATGAAGTTAGCTTTATGTTATCCATGAACACAGAGAATTCCTTTGGCTGGGACGATCATGTTACGGTGATGGCTAGGATAGGAAAGGAGGGAGAGTATCAGCGCGAAAAAATTGATCTATCAAAATTAAGCGGGGAAGTAAAGGAATTTCCTCCGGATCATAAGTGTCGGGTTGAAAGTGATAAAAAATCTGGAAGTAACGAGACGCTCTATTTTGGCTTGTATGAAGTGTGGACTAACAAATGGAAGGGTGGTCTACGGATTCATGAGGCCATAGTTCAGGAAATACCAGCTGGGAATAATATTGCTTCTACATCTAATACCCGTTCCGACGAAATACCAGCTGGGATTTGATCAGCGGACCAGATTGCATCTCCTAGTTATCTATTATATCTATTTTCGTCAGTGTCATATTTGAAGTTATTTTGATTTTCTTAGTTAGCCCAACCATGGCAAACTTATAATATGCACTGCTAGGACTCTAGTTATTTAGCTATGGTTTGAATAAACACTAGTCTAAAGACTCTTTCTCCAGAGCTTTTCTGTTTGTCTTATGATATGCTACGTCAACATCCTAAAATTAATCCTCTGGGTTTGATATATATTGTTAATTTCAATATATAAGCTGCTCGTGCATGTGCGTTCATTTTTTAAGATTTTAAAGTACCGTCTTTTTTTTATTATTAAAACAAATTAATGGATTTTTAAAGACAGGTCGAAGAGATGCGGTAGAAAGGGAGATAACGAGGATACAGAAATGACACTTCCTTTCCTTATGGTGCTCCTGTCATCTTGGATGGGTCTCTAAATTTTCTGCATTTGATGTGCTAAAAGAAGAAGAAGGAGAAGAAGAAGAGAAGAAGAAGAAGGAGGAGGAGGAGGAGGAGGAGAAGGAGAAGGAGAAGGAGAAGAAGGAGAAGAAGAAAGATAAATCATAGAGTTGCACTGTTTTAGTTTTTGAGTTCTTCGTGGAACAAAAATTGTTTTTTTTTTAATAAAAAAACACATTCCGCTCTTTAAATTATCTTTCCAAGGATAGCTAAAACAGGAAAGTAAAAAAAATATATTCTAAAAAACACTTTCCACCAGGCCATCGTTCACAAATAAAACAATGGCACGTGTCAATGTATTAATGCAATGACATTTAAATGATGCGCCCGTATTGTACAGCATCAGCAAGGTAAGAATTGTTTTTTTTTTTTGGGATCATCGTGACAAAAGCTAAATACTGCTGTAAAATCATTTGACATCCAGACAAGGACGGACGAGTACAGGAAGCTAACGGAGGAGTACAGGAAGCTAAGGTGGGCTGTAGCGCAGGTTAAAAAATTTTATTAAAAAATTTAATATTTTTCTTGTATAACCTTTACATTATATCGGTGAAGGGAATTAAAGGTCGCTTGAACCGCTTGCTTTCTGCCTATGTTGGTGATTTGGTAATGGCCATTGTCAAAAAGGAAAAGCTTGATCTCAGGAAGAAGGTTATGTCTGCTGTCATTGTTAGGCAACGTAAGTCTTGGCGCCAAATGGATGGTGTTTTCATATTTTTTGAAGATAATGTTGGTGTTATTGTGAATCTCAAAGAAGAAATGAAAGGCTCAGTAATTACCGGTCTAATTGGAGAGGAGTATGCTGATCTTTGGTCTAGGATTGCAAGCGCAGCTAATTCTAAGAACTTTAATTTGTTTGTTTCTTTTCTTTGGGAATCATATTGTTGTTAAGTCCTATATGTTTTTATAGGGTTAATTTTAGTTGTGTTTTTGTTATTTTGACTAAATTTTATTTGGAGCTTTATATGCTATAATGAATTTTATAGATTTTGTACAAAAGAAGATTTTCGGGGCTCCACCCCGAACCCAGCAAAAAACACACCATCTTCTACAAATATATCTGCTAAAGTAAAAAATAAAGACTTTCCCTTTTATTTTTTATTTTTTTTTGTAAAAACTCACTCCTTACAAAAGGATTTTGTTTTCTATCATTTATTAAAATCCACTCTTTTACCTTTATCAATACTCGAGAAAGTACCATAGGATTTTTATTTTCTCCTTCCCAACAACATCAAGTTTTAGCTTAGATTTTGAAGAGGAATCTAAACAGAGTCACAGGAGTGCAAAACCATCACGATTAAGTAAGAATTTCCAAGCTCTAAGTTAGCTATATAACAAGGATCAATAATAGTTTATAACCCAAGATAAAAAAAATTTCTGGCTCCGCCCTTGCATCCAGAAATATTTTATTGTGTACTATGATAATAATTTTATTTTTTATAAATAAATAAATATTTTTTTATTTATTTTATAAGAATATTCAAGTTTTTTAAATTTTTAAGTAGAAGCAAATAACACTTTTAACTTTAAAAACATTAAAAAAGAAGATTTATTTTTAAAATATTTTATTATTTTCATATTAATATTTTATATAATTAAAAGGATGATACAGGCGTTTTAGTATTTTTATATATTTTTTAATCAAAAAGCTATTATTACATGTTTCATATGCTCAATGCGTGAAAAGTATAAAATTCAGCCATCTATCATATAATTAGATATACAGTTTTGCTCTTTTTACATGGAGCTATTAGATTATAGCTAATAATCAATTATTTGTGTTTATTTTATTTTTTTAATTGATAACTAAATTATATAATTTTTTTTTATATTTATTATTTGTTTAGGCCTATCATAAATTACAATCCTGGATAGATTGGACCGGCCAAGCCTGATGCCCAGCTTAGACTTAATATTTTTTTTTTTTTGGCTGGACAAGCTGCCTTGTCATTGTTCCAAACAATTGATCCGGACCGCTGGGCAAATCAACAGGCGTGCATGAAATGTTAATTTACGTTTTCTACAGGAAGGAGTTAATTATAAATGAAGATGCACGATATCAAATGAATTATTTTGCAAATCGGGAAGAGAAGAAGAAAGGCTTACCTGGTCTGCTGGAGCTGGTGGGCTGGAGCGACGACGTCTGGACAAGGCTTCTTCTTCCTTCTTTGTTCTTCTCTCTGTTATGTGTTTTCCCCTGCGTTGGGTTCTTTTCTGCTTTTTTGTTTCTCTGTTCTTTGTATCTCACCCCCTGCTCTCTGGGTTTGTTTCTTCGTTCGTGGCCTCTTGTGCCCCTCTGTTCTGTGCTTCTGTTTCCTTACGATTTTTCCCCTCGGTCCTTTTCCTTTTCGTTTATATCCCCTGGAAAACCCTCGGTTCACTCTGTATTTGCCCTTGTGTTTGTTCTCTGTTCTCCTTTGCCTCCTCTCCTGGCCTCTTTCCCTGTTTGCCTTTCTTCTTCCCCAGTTTCCTTTGTTCCCCCCTCTGGTTTTCCGTTTCTTCCCTCCCAGTCTTTCTCTGTTTGCATCTCTCTCCCATCCTATCAGTGGTCCTTCTCTGGCTTTTATGAAGCCAAAGAGTGTATGATCGTGCACGATCTGCACGATGGGCGTCTTGCACGTTCGCCTTCATTTGAAGACTAGTCAGGTGCTAAAGGCCCTGTCATTGCAAGACCACTTCTGGTATTTAGAGAATATCGTGTGGGTGAGGAGATTGTGTGTGGCCGAAGCTGTGTTAGTGGTGTCTCAAATGGATTTCCATTGCCTTTCCTAGAGAAGAGAATGAACTCTTGAAACTGCGTCGTTTGGCTATCTTCAATTCCCGCCTTAAACTTTTTCCATTTAGCAATTGGGTTCTTAATCAAGGAAAATCTCTTCTTTTTGTTATTTTGCCCCTAGATCAAATTGCAATTGGACCCCTGGATTATAGTGTTATTTCCAAAACAATCCTTGGTTTCTGAGTTATTTAATTTGGTCCTTAATTAACTCTTCAACTTTTAATTCTTTCAATATTATCCCTGAAAAAATTAATTAAACTCCCTAAATTACCCTCATCATTTCATTTTGGTCCTTGAATTTTAATTTCTTGCAATTCTACCTCCAATATGCCCCAAACTTTGATATTTTTTCAATTAAGCTCTTAATTTCATTAATTAAACTAATTTCAAGTTCAATTAAATCCCCATACTTACTAATTCTTTCATTTTTTTTATCAAATTAACTTCCAAATTTATAATTTAATTCTTATCAGTTCTCAAACTTTCAATTTGTGTTGTCTTAACTTAATTCTCAAATTATTTTTTATTCATCCATTTTCTTTTTAAGAAAGCAAAAATTAGGTTATGATAAAAGTAATTGAAATGGAAAGGAGGGAAGATATAGGACTAAGGATTCTATACTATTGGACAGTAATTTAATGTTTCATTTACCCTTAACAAAGACATGTTTTCCATTAGCAATAGACCTATGGGTTAGAGAAGAAAATCCTTCAGAATTATATAAGGTTGTCATTTTATTAGTTATATTATCAATGACACTTAAGTCAATGACAAAAAAATCATGCACAATCATAGTTACCAAGGCAATTTTAATTGCAATTAGAATACCTTATGTGTTTTCTTGTAAGATGTGAGCAGAGTTTGCAAGGAAGCCCATAAACTCATCAAGAAGCACTATAGAATTAGATGCAAATGTTTTCACGGCAATATCACCCTTTTTTCTTAATTTAGGTAGTAAAGTCATTGAGGATGGCAGGTGGGTTGATAGAAATTTTTTTAACATTACTAGGAAGAGAAATGGTGAAGTGAGCAGCCACAATAACATAAGCCTTATGTTTATAGCTTCTTTGAGATTTCTTTTTCTTTTCAAAAACCAACTTCAACTTTGGATGAAAAATCCAACACCTCCTAATTGAGTGGCCAATATTATAACAATGATGGCACTTTAAATTAGGTCGTTTGCCCTTGTAAAATCTATTATTATTCATTGATTTGTTGATGGTATAAGCACAAGTTTGTAATAAAGGGATTTTAAAGTCAAAATTCATAACCTTTCTATGAGCTTCTTCTCATTGAATAGCAGCACACACACTAGTAAGGGATGGAAGATCAGGATTCATGAGGATCTTGCTACAAAGATCTTCGTATTTTGAACCGAGGCTAGCTAGGAGTTAGAAGATCTTGTCCTTTTCTTCACGTTTCCTTAATTTTGATGCATCAACCATATAGGAATAATATAGTGCAAGTTCACTCGTCATAACTTCTAGGGTCCCGATTAATTGAATAGAAGTATTTCTATCTTGTTACATATTATCAAGATTTTTATTGATTTGAAAAATACAAGTTGAATTGTTTTGATTTCCATACATCCCTTTCATAGCTTTTTATAGTTCTAGATTATGAATAGCTAAATATTTCAGCAATATATTTTTTTAGAAAATTAAGTAACCAAGATATAACAAGTTGGTCATTGCATTGCCTAGCTTCATAAGCCGGTGAAGAAGACTCAAGATGCTTAGTATAGCCATTGACATAGGCAGGTTTGAATCTTCCACCAAGATCAATTGTCACAACTCTTGATTAAGAGAGATAGTTAAATTTATTTAGTAAAACTAAGCCTAAACATTGTTTAGGATTTAGCTCTCCTTCCAGAATGTTACAGGATTTATTGGTGTAATCAACACTATCAATCTTGAACGGGTCTTCCATAGGAATTTCAACTAATCAGCAAGGTATGATACCATGAAGAAACAAAAAATATAAAGTAATATTATATGTTGAAGAAACAAAGGAGATAGAAGAATATTTTATTATGTTTTTCTGTTATAGCAGCACGCACACACACAACTAGGAGTGTTAAAAAAAACCAATCAACCAAAAAAACCAAAGAAAAATTAACTGAAAAAATCTAATCAAGATAAAAAAATCAATTAAAGCAATTTTTAAAACCATAAATTCTAACGTGTCCGATTTGATTTCAGTTTTAGAATTCAAACCGACAAACCAAACTGGACTAACCATAAAACCTAAAAGCTATACAATTTAAAAAGGGTATAAATAGTTCAATATTAAAGTTAACCTAACCCTAACATAACCCCCTCTTCCCCTTGCAAAAAGTCGTTGCCCTAACCCCTGAAACTATTTATCTCAATCTTCCTTTTCCTTTCAAGTTTCAATTGCTCTATGTCTGTCTCCATCTCAAAAGTCTCACATTATCTAGGTTCTAGCCAAACACAAACCCACCCCTCCATCTCCATGACTTCTCTTTTCTCTTTATTTTTGTGCAAGTTGTTGCAATCCTTCTCTATTCTTTCAAGTTACAGCAAAAAAAGACAACTCCTTCATTAGAGAAAAGACAAGGAAAATTTTGACCCAGTATTTGGTGTTTGAACAGGGATACTAGGCATATCAATAGAAAATAATGATTAATGACCAAAGATGAATTTATAACTTTTATTGTTTGTTGTAACAAAGATGGATCTATTAAAATCCTTTGAATGGTTAGCTAAATTGCATTGTTCCTTGCTTGTCTCGACACAAGTTTGTAATAGCAGGAAATATAAAATTCCAAATAAGAAAAAATTAGTCTTTGATCTTTGATGGATTAGGTTTCTTGATTTTATGGCAAAAAAAATAAATTTAATTGAATCAAACTGAACCAAATCAATTTAGTTTGAACTAGGTTTTGATCTAGTCTGGTCCGGTTAATATTTTACAAAATCAATATAACTCGGTTAGGATAGTTTTTAAATTTTAAAAAAAAAACTGATTTAGTTTGAACTGGATATCAATCCATGATTATAGAAGATTCAATAGACATCATCCTTCCTATCACGGAGGAACCAAGCCCGGCCCTGCACTCGAACTAGAAGAAGATATAAGATGGCTCAAGGTAAGCTAGCTACTCTTGTACAACCGTAACCCCATTCTATATTGTTATGAAATACAGTTCTTTATTCCTAGCTGTAAGTAAAATTTGTTTGTTAATTACAATGAAATTAAAGAATGTTTTCAATTAGCCCATATTCCAAATTACTTCAAAATCAGTGAAAGGCAGCTTTCTATACCTCGCTATAAGTGATTTGTATTGCAAGTGTTCCAAAGAAAATGTAATCCTATAATTAAGGACCATGATAGGGAAACCTATTTTCCTATAATTAATGACTTTACCAACGCTAATGAATTTGTTTTCATGTTTCTCTGTCCCTGCAGCGGGTGCTGAAGGTGCTTCCACCTTCTCTGTCCAAGAAGCGAGTGCTGAGGGTGGTTCCACCTTCTCAAGCATTGCAAGATGACAACGAGAATAAATTTTTTTTTCCCATATTGGATCATAAATTTTTTTAAAGAAAAAACAGGTTTCATATTTAAATTCCTTACAGTATAACATAGTTGCCAGAACACCCATTTGGAATAGGAAGCCTGGCACCGTGTAAATTCCTGCCTCTAAAATAAGCTTCCTCAACTTTCATCCCCTCCATTTCTACCCCTACAGAAGAACCCAACTACACAAAATTATAAGAAACCGAACATAAATTGAGAAAGGCCAAAAGGGGAATAGAAGAAGAAGTTGAACTTACTTACCAGTGGGTTTGGGTTTGAAGCAGTGAGAAACGGCAGAAGGGCCATCATATTTGATGCAGCAAAGTTAGGTTAGGTTTAGGGTAATTTTAACTTGAATTTGAACTAAAAGTTTGGGTCTTATATTGATCTTAATCTAAGTTAATATAAAAATAAAAATAATTATTATTATATTTTTAAAACTTAATTCGATCTAGGATTAGGTCTAGGTCACCAATCAAGTTGACCATTAACCCGAGTAAACGTAAGGATAAAAATAATTATTATCATAGTTTTAAAATAAATTCAAAAGTCGACTCGGGGCTTGAACTAGGTCATGAGTTAGGTTAATCATTGATCTGAGTCAACATAAGAATAAAAATCCTTATTATTATTATTTTATATAAGCGGTGCCATCAAACTGCTAAATGAATAATATTTATCAAAGATTCTTGGTCCAACCCCAATGAACAGACCAACATTCAGAATCGATTTTTAGACTGATTCAACTTATTTTTTACTCATTTTCAACCAAGTCAAACTAATTACCTACTATTTTGACCATTCTAGATTCATTTGCAATGTTTGTCTTGTCAAGTTAACTCTCATAAGATAATATAGTCATTCAAAGAATAAAATAACTAAAAAATGCATAAACATTCATTAGGAAGCTAACAAAAAACAATTATGATAATTAATGTATCAGACTGAAAGCATTTCTTGACTCACAAGAATGGATAGAGATTATGGAAATATAGTTATGAAGAATTAGATTTCAAAAGAACAAAAGATTTTTAGAAGAGACATAAAATCAAGTCCTTAAAATCAATAATAATAGTAAAAAAATAAAGACAATAAAGGCAAGACCACTATTCTTTATATTCTTGGCCATATTTGTGATCATTGCTTTTGCATAAACCTTAAAAAATATATAAAAGGATTTTAATAAAAATACAAAAGTGTTAGCAAAATCAAAAAGATTCCTCTCCAATTTTTGTAAGATAAATTTAAATAATTATAAATAAAATCCTCATAATCTATTTCTGATTTTCACAAGAATAATTGTGAATTCTTAGAATTCCAACATCTACAAAACAAATCAAATAATATTCCTTGCTTATTCTTCTTTCTAATTTCCTTATTAACCAAAGTGCTCATAAAAAAAAAAACATTTTTCAATAGATCACCGAGCAATTGGGACAAATTGATAAGCTTCTATTGTTTAATAGCGCAATGTAGACATTCAAACAATATGAAAGATCAATCTAGACAAAGACAAACCTCTATGTTTTTTGTTTTAATTAAGCTTGTTTTTATTATTTCATTTACATATTTATTGTTTTAGATTTTTTTTTTAAATCTTTCCATTTACTTTAGACACACCCAAAATGACACGAGTAGCATCAGTGAAGGAAGTGTCATTTGTGTATCCTAGTTAGCTACCCTAAGCTTTAAGAACTTCAAAAATGAAAGCACATGCAAGCAAGAGTGAAATTAACAATATATATCAAGCCGTTTTGTACTTTTTTAATCTGTCACGCAATATCAACAGCTCTTTAGCAGTAAGATCACACCTGCTTAAAAAACTTTCTTAATCAGTTCACACCCAGAGGACTGTTGGATGTTGACGCCGCAAATCACAAGGCAAACAGAAAAGCTCTGGAGAAAGAGTCTTTAAGTCTATATATAGTTCTTATTCAATCCATAACCAAATAACTGGGGTCTTAACATTGTATAATATAAGTTTGCCATAGATGCGCTGACTAAGAAAATGAAAATAACTTGAAATATGACACTTACGAAAAACAGATAAATAGTCAGATGGAGATCCGGATTAGAAATCAAATCACTGAAAATTCCTGGAAGTAGGCATTGGAAATAGATTTTGACCCTCAAAACAGCCTTTGTCCAGAGCGCTTTCAGATGCTGAAGTAGAATTGTCAGCTGTTACTTCTTGCACTTTGGAGTCGTCCGAACGGGTATTAGACGTAGAAGCAGAATCCTCAGCTGTTACTTCCCGAACAATGGCCTCATGGATCCGTAGACCACCCTTCCAGTGGTTAGTCCACACCTCATACAAGCCAAAATAGAGTGTTTTCTTATTATTTTCAGAGTTTTCATCACTTCTAAAATCAACCCGACACTTCTCCTCTGGAAATTCCTCTTCTTTCAGGCCTAACTTCGATAGATCTATTTTTACGCGCGTATACTCTCCCTTCTCTCCTATCCTTGCCATCACATAAACAGGATCTTCCCAACCGAAGGATTTCTCTTCATTCATGGATAAAATGAAGCTAATTTCATACGCCTTCCCTTTGGTAGCAGTCATTGAACCAGTTACATCAAGCCAACACATGGTTTATATATATATATATATATATATATATATATATATATATATAATGAATACATGCAAGAATATTCACCGAAGATTTTGATTTTAATTTAATGATGTGGAATAATTACCCGGGATATTATGGATCACATCGACAAACAAAAACTGTTGAAGAAATTATTGATCAATCAGGTAATTAATTTGACTCAAAATAGTTAATCCAACTGTTAGATTAAGCTAAAATTTATTGGTGAATTCGGATAGAAAATTGAGCTTATGCTAAGCTTCCTTCACACTCCAAGCCCGTTCGATGCTCATATTCGCCAAATCTCACTCCAAAGGCCCTCAAAGTTTCAGTTCATATTTTATACTTTTTCCTTCTAAATTTTGCATTTTAGCTTTATTATTTTTCTCGATTAGTTGTTTCCTAGTTATTTGAGGTATTTAAACCAATATTTTCAGATTTCATGGCACTTTTGTTGAATAAACTATAGACTATTACAACTTTAGTAGAATTTTTGTCTAGCCATAAGGTTTTAGACGTGTGTTAAACTCAAACCCATCGTTTTCTTTACCGCATTTAATAATTCTAATTTTACTTCTATTAACCAAATACTTGTAACATAACAGCAGATGATGAACCACACCAAAATTTATAACACGTACAACACTTCAACAAAAAAATAGGAATATATTATCCTCACATTTCAGAAAATGTCCAATCTTGACTCTCTTCCCCCGAAATGTTGCCTACAAGATCCTTTGCTTTAAACGTGGTTTTACCATCAGCGCCCTATAAAACATATCAAACAATAGAATTTTCAAATTGTTATCATGAAACCATCACATTTGACCCCTGATCTTCACGAACTGATGATTAATTACCATTCATTAGTATTCTCACCTGTGAGAGGGCCGGTTTTGTATGCGTCTCTGGATTTTCATCATTTGAAGATGGTTGTTGAGAGTCGCTACTTGCCTTATTGCTGTTAATATTTGTCGAAATCTTCTTAGTATCAAATAATGAAAGGAGTTTTGAATTTAATGCACAACTATTGAAAAGCAAATCAATATTATGAAGCATGTTTTACTCTATTAACAAATACCAAAATTTGTTATTTCTTATTTTACATCTGGTAACATAACACCAGATGATGAAACCACACCAAAATTTGTAACACAACACTTCAACAAGAAAATAGGTATATATTATCCCCACCTTTCAGAAATTGTCCTATCTTGACACTCTTCCTCCCAAATGTTGCCTAAAAGATCCTTTAGTTTAAACGAGGTTCTACCATCAACACCTTATAAAACATGTCAAGCAATAGAATTTCCAGAATGTTACCATGAAACCATCTCATTTGACCCCTGATCATCACGAACTGATGATTAATTACCATTCATTAGCATTCTCACCTGTGAGAGGGTCGGTTCTGTATCCGTGTCTGGATTTTTATTATTTTGAGATGGTTGTTGAGAGTCGTTACTTGCCTTACTGATGTTAATATTTGTTGAAATCTTCCTAGTTTCAATAATGAACGGAGTTCTGAATTTAATGCACAACTATTGGAAAGAAAATTAATATTATGAGGCATGTTTTACTCTATTAACAAAATACCAAAATTTGGTATTTCTTATTTTACTTCTAGTAACATAACAGCAGATGATGAACCACACCAAAATTTGTAACACAACACTTCAACAAGAATATAGGTATTATATCGCAGATGACAACTACTTTTAGATTATTATATTTTTTGTAGGAAGATGTTTTATAAGTCAATTGTGTGTTTGTTTTATAATATGTAAAATAATACCATTTTATTTCAGTTGTTATGGAAGAAGATTATTCTTGTTAGTTCAAAAGAACATATAGAGTGAGATTAACAAGTTGTGGAATGGGAATAACATTATACTTAATCACAAATTGTAAAGTGAGAAGAGGTAAACTAATGCTAGAATCTTGTGATTTTTTCTTATTTATTTATGTTAAACATTTCCCTGTTAATTACAAAACAATCAATTACTATGAACCATGAATATGTTCTCAAGAGAAGTTCATATTCAAGACTTCACTATAATTTAAGGCCAGTTACAGATACAATTTTTCTTTATTAAGTTCAGGTCAAAAGGTATAGGGATCAATTAGTAAGAGAAAACGTGAGATGTTTACTTTTTATTAAGGTAAAGGGAGAGATTTAATCCACAAAATGTATCTCCCAAGTTTTGAGAATGCTCCTTTTTCAGCAAGAAACTATCATGTATTTGGCAGCGAATAATGAAAACAATAAAGCCATCCGAATTAGTGCAAAAGTTTTAAGAAATAAAACCAGATTTGTAGTCCAAAATGACGAGTATGTTCACTTTTAAAATGATATGTTGTTGGGAGATTCATTGCTGAAAAATAGACAACTGAGACTATACAAATTGTCTCCTGGGAAGCCAGTGACAATTTTGAACCTGAGTTCATGGTATAATGGATTTTGGACTTGGCAGTTAGGTTGGCAAAGAGAGTTAAGGGCTTTTGAGCTTGATCAAGTTTCTTCCCTGCAAAGCCTCACAAACGAGAGTCAATTGTTTCAATGGAATCCAAATACTAAAATCTAGAACATTGGAAGTGATGGGAGATTTTTAGTTAAATCTTGCAGTACAGTAGTTGATGGCTCTTTTACATCAAACATATGGGATTCTGCAGATTCCCCCAAAGATTCAGACATTTTTATGGTTAGCTGTGTAGAACAGATTATGTTCCTTTCTTTTAGCAGATGGTTACTTCCAATTGATCAATATATCTTGTTGTTCTTTTTGAGCGAATGTTCTGGAGAATTCAGACCATTTGTTACTTTAATGCAATTTTGTTTGGAAGTTTTGGTCAAAAGTCATCTCTTGGTAGGGTATCTCTTGGTGTGTCCCGAAGACTTTCTACTTTTTCAATGGCATACAATGGCCAAGGGAAAATTTCAAAGGAAAGCGTGGAATCTTCTCTTTTTTGGTGTTGCGTATTTTCTTAACCAGGAATAATTAGATTTTCAAGGAAATTCAACCTGAAGCATGTTTTACTTTAACATGGCGTCGATTGTCTGCCTGGTTGAGAAATGTGACTTCAACTTTAGTTACACAGGTAATGACTTCACTAGAAGTTCAGACGATATCTAAATGTGGACGAACACCAACAGTAAGCTAATTAAAGTCATGCAAATTGATAATCCTCTTAAATACTAAATTTTCACATCGCCCTTATATGGCTGGCTGACCTTTCGACATAGAAATGAATAATGGGCCTCATTCCAACAAAAAATAAACTGATTAATAAACGGTGTTGAACTACTGCAAACAAGCATGCTAATAGAAATTGCTAATAAAAATATAGAAGCATATTCTTACCCACTCTAAAAATCTTCTGTGAGGGATTTTCTATCTTAGAGGAGAAGCTGGAAAGCACCGATCCTTTTGATGAAGCATAAAGTTAAGGTAAGAAGTGTTGTTCTTTGATAAAGCAGGCCAATATCTTGAGGTTTAACCTTTTTTTCAATGTTTTATTTTGTTTCAGTTTACCCTATGAGACTTGAAATGAGTCCATTTTCATTCCCTAAGGTTTCAATCCCAGAAAGAAAACATTTAGTCCTAAGATTTGACAGAAAGAAAGTTTTATGAAATAATTTGACGAGAATTAATAATTTATTTTCTTATATATATCAAAATAAGATTAATTATGTGCAAAGAGAAAGTTTAACGATTTGAACTGCATCTTGAGGTCACCGAGAAAATAAAGAAATAAATATAAATTAAATCATTTGTTCATAAAGAAAGGCGCATATTCTCACCCTTTAGAGGGATTTTTCTTCTTGGAGGAGTTGCTGGGAAACGATGATCCTGTACCTTCAGCACCCTTTGAAACATGATAAACAAGAAAAAAAAATCCGAATTGTCATATCATTTAAACATTTCATTTGCTTCCCCTGACCATTACGAACTGATACCGTAGAACAAATAGTATTCTGACCTTAGAAGGCGGTGCTTTAGAGCCTTTGGAAGCCCCTTGGCTAGAACGATTGGAAAGAAAATTCATGATGATCTGGATGCTAAAGAAAGAGTTTTTGAGGAACTAGCTAGGTGGTACAAAGTTCAAACAATGATGGGAGCTATGTTGTTTGTGAGTATCTATTTCCACGATCTAATATTCTAAATCCAATCCATACATGGTCCACAAATTTAGTACCTCACTGTTTTAGAATCTCTCTCCTTCCTAAAAAAATTCATCTACTTCTAGTATTTTTCTGTGATAAAAATCTTTCCTGATCAACTTTCGGTTATCAAATCTAAACTTGTGTTCCATATTAGTGTTTTGACGAGACCGTCCACATATTAAATTATGCATTTAAAAAATTAAAAATGTTTCCATACCACCCCTTCTAAGATTCTAATCTTTAAATAATAATAATAATAATAATAATAATAATAATAATACTGGTGATGCTTTACAATAAAATAAAAGCGGTGTTTGTTTAAAATTTAAAAATATTTTTTAAAAAAGTTATTATATTTATATTCGTGAATTGTTTTAATATACTTATATTAAAAATAATAAAATATATATAATTTTAATTTATTTTCAAATAAAAAAATAATTTGAAACCCTTTATCTATAATACTCTCAAACAAGTTTTAAACTCTAACTGTCATTGTTTTCAAAGATATGATATAAAACTTGTTATTGCTAGGACTGGTAACAATTTGTTTTCTAAAACAAAAACCAAATGGTCAGCTTGCCCTTGTAATTTATAAAAATAATTTACTTAATAACCTTACGCGGGGGAATTATGAGGCAAACTTTGAGGCATATTGATCATGGATTAATTAAAAACTGATAATTGAATTCTACAAGATCGAATCTTGTGCTGTTTTGTTTCCCAGTGGCTAAACGGTAGAGCCAGGAGGCTTGATGTGGCGCTTCAAATTCGATTTGACCCTAACAAAGTAAAAGATGAACCAAAATCACAGATAAAAAAATAATCAAAACAAAAATTATAATATTAGTATAAGAAAAGAAGAGAAGGAATAATAAATAAATAAATCTTTGTTCAAGTTCTATAAATCTATTTGCTCAAAAAAATCCATCACTGTTTTTTTGGATAATCATCGGAAATATATTGGGAAAAAAAATCCTTCACTGTGAGACGTATAATCCAAAGCCACCACCGACAAGCCTGTAACTTCTCACAAGTCCTATCGCCTATTGTCCCTAATGGAGCGAAAAATATTGAATAAATTGGGTAATTAGCACACACAAACTGCGGGAATTGTTTTTGGTGAAATAGTATAAATTTAGATGCTGTAGTTATAAATTGTGATATTTAATTAAATATTATATTTTTAAAACATAACATCAATAAAATTAAAAATTAATTTGTTGATTAGTTCATAAAAATCAATTAAATTAGTTAACTCATTTCAAAATTAACAAGAAAAATCATAAAACTACAAAGATCGAAGACTTGAAGTGATTTTTTTAAATCAAAAGGTCTGACGGTTATAGTAACAATTCTATAGTTATTCTATAAAAAAAAGCCTATGAAAACTTTTGTAATGAGGAGGAGGACGCGAAGGACAAGACGGAGCACGAGAAGGAGTTGACACAGGAAAAGGAGGGGGAGGAGGAGAGGTAGAAAATAATGAAAATGTTCGACCAAAGATAGAAGAAAATAGAAGACAAGAGAGGCCTCCTTCACCTCCAAACCCATTGTTTATAGCAACTAGTAATGGAATAGTAGAGATTGCTAAAGAGATACTTGCTAAATTTCCTCAGGCAATTGAGCTTGTTAATGATGAGGGGCAGAACATATTGCATGTGGCCGTGATGCATCGACGGCGGGAGATTTTCCGTCTTGTGAAGAAAAAGAACATAGTAGTGACCAGGATGAGTTCGAGCGTAGATAATAATGGCTTCACATTGTTGCACCAAGTTGCACACGTGAAGCACTACAGCGGAGGAGCCAAGCCCGGCCCTGCTCTCCAGCTACAAGAAGAAATACAATGGTTCAAGGTGAGCTAGCTACTCTTAGTACAATCGTCACCCATGTCATATTTTTATGAAATGCAGTTCTTCATTCCAAGCTATAAGTAATAACTGTTCGTTAATTACAGAGTTTTCAATATGCCTATATTTCAATTTACTTGAAAATCAGTGAAAGACAGCTCTTTATGCCTTGCAATAAGTAAAGTAAGATTGTACTTTAATACACAATCTGTTGCTTTAATAGAAGAAAAAAAGAGAGAATATGTGCCAATGAAAGGGAAACCCATTTACCTATAATTAATAAATGACTTCACCGACACTGATGAATTTGTTTCCATGTTCTCTGTCCGTGCAGCGAGTGCAGAGGGTAGTTCCACCTTCTCTGTCCGAGCAGCGGGTACAGTGGGTGCTTCCGAATGACAAGAATTACAAACTCATGACTGCATTCGAGCTCTTCCAAGAGGAGCATAAAGGTCAACTCAAGTTGGCGCAAGATTGGATCGAGAAAACCTCTCAGTCATGCTCAGCAGTAGCCGTTCTTTTGGCCACCGTTGTCTTTGCTGCCGCTTACACTATACCTGGAGGTTCTGACGATCGTGGCTTTCCCATTTTCCTTTGTTGGGAATTCCGACCGGTGATGTACTGATATTTGCTCATAGGAGGCCAAGCACACTGACACAATATTTAACGTGGTTCGGCAAAACTGCCTACATCCACGGGAGAAGCCATTACATTATGTAAGGAGAGTACAAGATTTACAACAATAGAGGAGGAGGAATCATCCCCTCTTTGAGCAACTCTCAACCTCACTCTATTTCTCTTCTTTTGTGCTACAATGGCAGCCCACTCTCTCCTACATTTCTCACCTCTTTGGCTCTACTTCCTCTCTCTCATTTTGCTCTCTCATATATGCCTCTATTTATAGGCATTCATGGAAGCTCTTCTTGGTTTGTTGTCAACATTGATGGCTACCAACTCTAGCTCATTCAACAATGGTGGCCACCAACTCTATCTCATTCAACAATGGTGGCTACTAATAGTCAATGGTAAATGGTTGGTGCCTTACATGAAATGGCAACCAACCTAACATCCTTCACAACCGTTTCTTCATAGCTTTCACTGTCTTGGATGTTACCGCCTTAGCGAGCTCCTTGACCTCAGTTGTGATGTTCCTTTCTATCCTCACCACTCCTTTTGAATGCGAGAAATTCTATCACAGTATTCCTCGGAAACTGATATGGGGCTTTACTTTGCTCTTCTTCTTCTCAGTGATGACAACCATGCTTGCTTTTTCTTGCACTCTTCTTTTAGTCATTCGCTTGAAGAAGCAATGGACCACAGGTCTGATGTCCATTGCTGCTTTCCTTCCCGTGTCAGTATTTGCAGTAATGCAGTTCCCTTTATATGTCGCCTTTATGACTACTATAAAGGACTTCTATAAGGAAGTCGTGAAGTCTCTACCTTATATCCACCTCCCTTTCCGCTCCCGTTTCAGGCAAGGGAAGGCCAGAAGAAGACGATTGGCATTTTTAAAAGGTACCTGTTTGCTTCAATATGTGTCTGGAGACCAACCATCGTCTTCAGTTTAGTATTTACTTGTTTTTTCCTTGTAACAAACCCTTCTTTATGGGAGATCAGTCAGTGCCTCTGTCATTCTCTCTTATGATCAGGACACTTAATGAAGAATAAAATATTTGTGATCCAATCTGAATAAGGGCAAAATCATTCTGGCAATGAGAAATTCCATCATTGATTATCTTAATCACCATCATTATATATTTAAGGTGTTTTGGAAATTTCTCGGCAACCACCACTTAGTTTTTGTTTTGAGAGTTTTTGTGAATTAATAAATCATGCTGTCCCTGTTATCTTACGTGTCACATTCTCTCTCTGTTCTTTTTCTTCTTCCCCAAGTGATCCAACTGGATCAATTGCAGATGGGTTCACTCCACATTTTGAGGTCATACCACCTTGCAATACAGATCAAAGTAGAAGCAAGTGCATAGTAGCATGAACTGATAAGCTGGTGGTGTTAGATATTAGTTAAATCCTAGATCAAGTGGGAATCCTTGATAAAGGATTTACCGCTACTCCTTTGGCCCTAACACATTTTCCATGAACATGCTCTAATGATCATAATTACCATCAAAGCATGGATAACAAAATTATTTGAAGCCTTGATTTATTTTTTGTGTTGGAATCGCTACTGCCGTAGAAGTTCCTTATTGCTACCAGTATTTGCTAATTCCAGACGCTCTTTTCCGCTGCGATTGGGGGCTGATTTTCATCTGCCACCTTTTGAGGTTGATGCGTTGGTTAAAAATTGTTGCTTCCGTGCTTACTGCTGCTTTTTTTTAAGGCATTCTTTAATATTGTAATAGCGGATAATTTTTTAATTATTTTTGTTTAGAAATATTTTAGAATAAATTTTTTTATTTTTACAGATTTATTTATGGTATTATCACACTAAAAAAATTCAAAAAAAGTTTTAAAAAAAATTGAAGCAAATACAAAAATCAGCTTTTGAATTTTCAAAAGTGTGGTGTCACCGCAAAAACGAACACTACATCTGCTGCTGCTGCTGTTTTGGCTACTCTGCTGCTACGCAAACCTTCTGCCATTGTAATTTGGAAGCTGTTGTTACGTGGAGATTCAAGCTGCTACTGCTGTGAGGAAGCTGCATCTTTGCTGCTGCTGTTGCTCTGGTCTGATTTGCTGGAATGGGACCTACTGCACTGCTGGGATGTCTGACAGTTGCAGCAGCTGCTGCTTCTGTTAAAGGAAAGGAGGCTGGTGCTGATGACCAAACCTTTTTGTTGCTGCCTGGAGGTTTCCTGGTGCGGAAACTATTAGGAGATCCAAACATTCAAACACACACAAATTTACGTGGTTCGGCAACTTGCCTACTCCACGGAGCTACTGGTTTGTATTAATCAAGCTCAAAAGCAATACAAACAACAAAACAAGGAGCAGGAAAAAACTTCTCAACTCAACTCAACTCTCACCCTTAGCTCTCTCTCTGTGTTTCTCTCTATCTCGTAGTCACCCTTAGCTCTCTCTCTGTGTTTCTCTCTATCTCGTAGTCTATCTCAGCTATCAGTGCACCTTCTATTTATAGCTGAGGAGGGAGATGATTGTTCAACAATGGTGGGCAAGTTAGGCACCTACCATTTGACTATGACTTCAACCATGGCTGCCACCAACCATGGCTGCCACCGGCCATTTGTGTCCACACACATAACAATCTCCCACTTGGACACAAATGGTGTTAGGTCTGTCTTTTAATCTTCAAGACCCACTGAAGCTTTACACAGCTTCAGTTTATCGAGAGTAACTCCTTTGGTTAACATGTCGGCTGGATTCTTGCTTCCACAGATCTTTTCAAGTAACAGTTGTTCATCGTCGAGCAATTGCCTGATGAAGTGATATTTGATCTGTATGTGCTTTGTTCTGGAGTGAAATGCTGGATTCTTGGCAAGGAAGATTGCACTCTGACTGTCACTATACAAAGTACCTTTTCCATGCATTTTGCCCAATTCTTGCAGGAAACTCTGTAGCCAAACTATCTCTTTTGCGGACTCTGAAACTGCAACATATTCAGCTTCTGTCGTTGAAAGAGCAACTATCTTTTGCAAGGTAGAACTCCAAGAAACAGCAGTGCCTCCTAGAGTGTATATATAACCTGTAGTACTCTTTCTGCTATCAACATCTCCTGCTAGATCAGCATCTACAAAGCCTTCAAGTTTCAAACCGCCAGCTGTGAAAATAAGACATGTCTCCGATGAGCCTTTTAAGTACCTCATGATCCATTTCACTGCCTCCCAATGCTGCTTTCCAGGATTGCTCATATATCGGCTTACAACTCCCACTGCATGGGCAATATCTGGTCTAGTACAGACCATGGCATACATCAAGGAGCCGATAGCTGAGGCGTATGGAATCTGGTCCATGTATCCACGTTCTAGCTCAGTTTTTGGTGACTGGTCTCTACTGAGCTTGAAATGATTCCCCAGAGGTGTACATACTGGCTTAGCATTATCCATACTAAACCTGCTGAGAACCTTCTTGACATACTCTGCCTGTGAAAGCTTTAGTATGCCTTTGTCTTTGTCTCTGATGATTCTCATGCCAAGTATTTGTTTAGCAACTCCCAGATCCTTCATTTCAAACTGTTTTGACAACTGTTGCTTTAGCTTGTCAATCTCTTCCATGCTGGATCCTGCAATTAACATATCATCCACATATAACAGTAAAATGATATAGGAGTTGTCAAAATGTTTGACATAGCAACAGTGATCAGCCTGACATTTTGTGTATCCCGTACTACACATGAAGTTATCAAACTTCTTGTACCACTGTCTTGGAGCTTGCTTCAAACCATATAGGCTCTTCTTTAGTTTGCAAACTTGACTCTCCTTTCCTGGTATTGCAAACCCCTCTGGTTGTTGCATGTAAATTTCTTCCTCCAATTCTCCATGAAGAAATGCTGTTTTTACATCTAATTGTTCAAGATGTAAATTTTCTGCAGCTACTATCCCCAGAACAACTCTGATCGTTGTAAGCTTCACAACTGGAGAAAATATCTCAGAATAGTCGATCCCTTTCTTTTGCTGAAACCCTTTTACAACAAGTCTTGCCTTGAACCGTTTGCTTCCGTCATGCTCGGTCTTTACTCTGTAGACCCACTTGTTTTGCAAGGCCTTCTTTCCTTCAGGCAGTTTGGTTAACTCCCAAGTCTTGTTTTTCAGCAATGACTCCATCTCGTCCTTCATGGCTAACTCCCACTTGCTCGAGTTTCCATCTTGTAAGGATTCTTCATAATTTAATGGTTCACCACCATCGGTCAGCAAGATATAATTTAGTAGAAGTGTGAACCGTTGTGGAGGCTTTATAGTCCTAGAAGACCTGCGAACAGCTGGTTCACTTGGCTCTGCACTATCTTGTGTAGAAGTGGTGGGTACTGAAGTGCTTGAACTGTCTTGTATGAACTCTTGAGTGGTAACATCAGGAAGCCCTTCTAATTGTATGAATTCAGATTTCTGTGGACTCGTATCTGAATCAGTTATCTCTAGTTCTGTACTTGATTTGTCTTTGTACAAAACTTTCTCGTTGAAGATCACGTTCCTGCTTCTGATAATCTTCCTGTTTTGATCATCCCAGAACCGAAATCCAAATTCTTCATCTCCATAGCCAATAAAGAAACATTTCTTTGATTTGGCATCCAGCTTGTTGCGAGCATCAGAGTCTACATGCACATAGGAAACACACCCAAAGACTTTTAGGTGAGCAAGCTGTACTTCTTTTCCTCTCCAGACTTCCTCGGGCAGTCTGAACTCCAAAGGTACTGATGGTCCACGGTTGATCAAGTAAACTGCAGTATGAACTGCATCAGCCCAGAATGTTTGAGGTAGCCCAGAATGCAACCTCATGCTTCTAGCTCGTTCATTGATGGTCCGGTTCATCCGTTCAGCAATACCATTCTGTTGTGGTGTGCCTGGAACTGTCTTTTCCATTCTGATACCGTTGACAGCGCAATACTCCTTGAAACCTCCATCAATGTATTATTCTCCATTATCAGATCGTAAGCATTTCAGCTTCAAGCCTGATTCAGTCTCAACCATAGCCTTCCATTTCTTGAACGTGTCAAACACATCAGATTTATTTTTCAGAAAGTAGACCCATACCTTTCTGCTAAAGTCATCAATAAAAGTGACATAGTACCGAGAACCGCCAAGAGATGCTACTGGAGCTGGTCCCCATAAATCTGTGTGCACCAGTTCTAGTTTTCTTGGTCTTAAGGTCCTGCCAACCTTTAAGAAACTGAGCTTCTTCTGTTTTTCGAGAACACAGCTTTCACAAATGTCTAGATCAACATTTTTTAATTCTGGCAGCTTTCCCTTTGACTGAAGTATCTTCATCCCCTTTTGACTCATATGGCCGAGTCTACAATGCCATAGCTGCGCCTAATTATCTGCTTCAGTAGAGGCAATTATATCTGCTGATCTTGTGGTCATATACAGAGTGCCAGTTTTCTTTCCACGAGCCAAAACCATTGCTCCCTTTGATACCTTCCACATTCCTCCAGAGAAAAGGATTGAATGGCCACTATCATCAAGTTGTCCGACCGAGATCAACTTCTTCTTTAGTTCAGGAACATGCCTTACATTTTGCAAGTTCCATGTAGATCCATTCATTGTCTTAATTTGCACATCTCTTATACCCACAATATCCAATGGTTGTCCATCGGCCAGATAGACTACCCCATAACTTCCAGCAGTGTAATTTTGCATCATTTCATGGTGTGGAGTACAGTGAAATGAAGCTCCAGAATCAAGAACCCAATCATCAATAGGATTATGTACAGCAAGGATCAAAGCATCTTATACCTCGTTTGTAGTGGCATTTACAGAATCAGCTTCAGGTTTCTTTGGTTTTGTGCAACTCCTCATGAAATGACCAGGTTTGCCACAATTCCAACATTCAACCTGCTTCCTGGGTCCAAACTTGCTTTTGCTTCTGTACCTGGATTTTGATCTGCCTCTGGATAAGCCTCTGTCTTGTCTCCTTCCTCGAGTGTTGATGTTGAGAGCTAAACCTGAACTTGAGCTTTCACCCGAGTCTTTTCTTCGTACTTCTTCAGCTAAAATCAGGTCTCGGATATCATCATACTTTAATTTGGATTTTCCAGCTGAGTTGCTTACGGCTGTTCTCATACCTTCCCAACTGCTTGGAAGTGAAGCTAGCAAAATAAGTGCTCGGATCTCATCATCAAACTCAATTTCAACGGATGACAATTGATTTGTGATGGTGTTGAAATTATTAAGATGCTGTGTAACAGAGGTGCTTTCTATCATCTTCGGGTTGAACAGCTTCTTCATCAAGTGCACTTTGTTATTTGCTGATGGCTTCTCATACATCCCAGACAAGGCTTCCATCAATCTTGCTGTGGATTTCTCTTTTGTAACATTATGAGCAACTCTTCTTGACAATGATAGCCGGATAATGCCCAAGACTTGTCTATCAAGTATTTGCCAATCTTCTTCTGACATGTTTTCTGGCTTGCTCCCTAACAGAGGAAGATGAAGTTTCTTCCCATATAGATAATCTTCAATTTGCATTTTCCAATATCCAAAATCAGTTCCATCAAATTTTTCAATTCCTGCAGCCTTTATTTCATCAGCCATTTTTACTCTTTCTTGGATTTGAATCTCAAAAATCTGACCTTACAGATGTGTCCAGAATGGCCAAAAATGCTGGAAACGACACTGAGATCACCCAAATCGGACTTCGGATGACTCCGATTTAAACAATTAAAAATTGAGATAACTGGACGCTGCAGATGAAGCCACGTGGCAGGAGGAATAGTCTCTGCGCCACACCGGATCAAAACCCAGTTATGCTGACGTGGCATGCTGACGTGTCAGACACGTAGGCAATGTGGGGTCCACCTAATCTGACGTGGCAGATCCGCGAAGATTTTCTGCTGACGTGGCAGTGGTGACGTGCCGGTTGACGTGGCGGGTTGACCGGTCAGACTGCTGCTGTGGCAGGGTGCGCGGCTGCTGACTGTGCCGGACGGCTGACGTGGCTGCTGACTGTGCCATACGGCTGACGTGGCTGCTGACGTGGCAGTGTCAATTTGCAGGAAACGACGAGGAAGACGCGTGAAGCGCGTACGGCGCGTCTGTGCGCGTGGACAGTACTGGTGGTGGCGCGTGCAGGCGCGTGCGGGCATGCAGGACGTCGGATTT